CGGCTCGGCGCTGTAAATTCGTTCAAGTCCAAGTGCACATTTCCAATCAGCACATCTGCAAAAGGCATAGCTTAACCTAAATCTTTATTTCCTCGTTTCCATCGAGTGCCTTCCGCTCTATGGGCTTTCACGTTTTTGTTCACATAGAGGTTGCCCTTCCTGTGCGGTTACTAGTGCCGGTTTAAAAGGATTTAAATGCGTGAATGGCTGTGTGCTCGTTACCCGATTTTCCTAAGTCCCAGGCCTGACCCTTTTTGTCTCGCTTTCTGCCGGAGCCTCCTTCCTCTTCTCTCCCCGTCCTCCACCTCCCCAGCCGGCCAGCTCTCTTCCAGATGCGCCACTCTCACTGCAGGGGCCTGCAGACCGTCTGCTGGCTGCCACCGGGTCCTAACGACAGCCGACTCACAAGCTGTCCACCACCACGCTACAGCGGGGCGGGAGAGAGAGGGGAAGATGGTCTGGGACTAAGTCATAATAAAAATACAACTAGACACACTAAGTTTTATTGATATTATCTAATCTCAGTGCCGCTCATCTATTTATTTATTCGTTTTCAGATCATTCTTTGACATTATGACAGATGACAACAGTTACAGGTCACTGCAGTTTTATTCTGCTGAAATGACCATAAAATATAGACAACAAACATACAGCAACCACAAACTAATGTTTTTTAAATGATGACAAAACGAATACAGGAGCCTGAGGAGGCATCCCATTTTTAGTTTGCTTTATTTATGGGCCCCCTGGTGGTTGTAGGGCCCTAAGCAGCCATGTAATCTCTTGACGCCTCAAGCACGTTTTGGGGCCTATAAAGTGAAACATGCCCACCAGAATTATTGTTCAGATGATTCTACAGCGTATATTCACTTTGTGAGTTTGATATATAGTGTTAACCTTTTGTTTCATCTTCCACCCATATTTATATAAAGCTAGATATGTCCAGCACATACAGATATGTGTAAGTAGAGATGCTTGAGCACATATAGTGTATGTATTTCATACTATATAGTGGTTGCTGCTGACATTTACTGCACAAACCTGGACAAGCTATTACATCATAACGGAGACCTACTCCATTGTAGTACAAATGTAATGCTAGCATTTGTACATTTTTATCATTACTAGTGCTAATGTAGATTTTTGTATGTAAATTTCTTTTTTTATTCTTCTATATTGACCTTGTACTAGTTGGCTGCTGTGATGCCTGAAATTCTGTTCAGGCATAAATGCAGTGCTCTTCTATCCAGTAATATCTGATCCCAAGATTTAGTGACACATTTCACATCAGATATTTTGATTTCCCAAACACAGGTTTAACTAATACCATTGCTGTGGTGGAGCCATTATTAATGTAATTAGTTCCACTTGTGCTTTTCCTGCAATCACGAGTCCAAAATGGTAATGCTCATAAAACAAACTATGGCAGTATATTAGCAAAAGAGATACTCCAGGGACTGATCATTCATTTGGCCTCAAATCAATATCAAAACAGATGTGGAACAGTGTAGCTTTGCCTATTTTAGTCCTGTAGCCTTTATCTTCTCATCAAAATTGTTCATCTAGCACCATAACTACATTTTCATTTCCTACAGTGCAGATGGAACAGGATATACAATCTCTCATCATTTTCATTCCATTAGCCCTACAGCAGCGAACCGCGACAGCAGTTTTTTTTTTATCCCATTCATGCCCACTAGACAGAGACACAGTGAGGTAAATGTTAAAGATTGCCAAATGCAGGAGTGCAAAAGCTCATGGAATAACTGACGCTGTTTAAGGGTTTTTTAGAGGTGAAGCTGGGGAGAGGAAATGTGTGCAGCAGCATCTCCTCTTTCTCATAGAATCAAATGATACTCAATGGTTCATCTGAGGACAGCAGCTATAGCAGTGGCAGGGTGATGCTGCTACAGCTGCTGGACAACCCTGTCTCTTCTTAGAAACCCACAGAGGATGCTGACAGGTCAAAACTCATCTTACCTGTACAGATTTTCTCCATTAATAGGAAAAAATATTTTTTTGTTTTTTAATTATTCTTGTAGCTGAAGCAAGAAATTGCAGTAATTCTTGTTGAATTGTTAGGAGCTTGTGTTTCCCTGTTGGGTGTTTTATTTCCCCAAATGTTAATGTAATGAAGCTATGTTTATGTTTATAAATAACAACTGTGGAAGAAGTAGATTGAAATATTTAACTCAAGTCAAAGTGATAATACCATGATGTTAAAATGCTCAAAAGTAAAATTAATCCATCCAAAATGCTAATTGAATAAAAGCTAAATGTATTTCAGTATCACAAATACTCACTACTGTATCTTTATTGTATTGTTACTGATGCATGTATGTGTAAGCAGCACTTTAGTGTTGTAACTGGTTGAGGTGGAGCTAATTCTATACATTGAGAATGCATTATATTCAGATTATATTCAGTGAGTTGATCACTTGATTTAACAGAGAGCATTTAATTTGGAAAGTAAGCAGTAACACCAGCTGTAAGAAGAGTGGAATGGAGTAAAAAGTTAACTATTTACTGAAATGTAGTGAGTAGAGCTTGAGAAGCAGATAAGGGAAGTGCCTCAAAATTATATTTAAATATAGTACTTGAGTTTTGTGATGATCAGTTAAATACATCCAATGACAATCATGACATGATCAGTCCCAGCCGTATTTTAAATGTTTTTAATATATCTCACATTTGATTTATTTACAAAAGTGGCTTTGTGACATAAAACTATGTTTTGTAAAATCAACATGAGAAACAAGTGTGTACCAGAAACGTAACCATACAGAATACAAACACTGACAAATGTCAGGGGAGCCTTTGAGGCCGTCCTCTTCACGCACTGTCTCTGCAAACAGCATCACTTCTGTCTGACTGGCTGTGTTGTATTTGTATTACCTCGAGACACCGGCGATGATCTCTTGGTAGATTTGGAATGTTTGTTTTGTTTTTTTTTAAATCTTGATTAACTATTAAATGTGAGTTTTCCCCAGCAGATTCCTGCAGTGAAATCCATTAAATGTGAGCGTCTCCAGACATTCTGTGAATAAACAATGGGCAACAACAACATATTAATGCAGATATATTTAGATATATACCTGTAATTTGTATGACACACAATGTCTGCAAACAGTTTGGCACAAATATAAAGGCTAAACATAAGTTTCCCCCAGAGCACATTAAATAAATAAATAAAATCTCTACAAAGTCACAGACTAAAAGTTTGACATAAAGGCTGATAGATCATCTTATTTGCAGAATGGTTATTTTATACAGTACTTCACAGAACAACTACAGGCACAAACTGAAAGAACAAAATGTTTTGCATTTAAACATGTGGCCAGAATGAAGGGGAAGACAGTAACTTCCCAAGTTTTTACCTCTGTAGCGTAATCATTTTTGGACAGTTTTATATGAATACACTGAGATCAGTGGTCACAGAATTTTAAATTGTGGTACTCATGTTGTTGCACTGGCTTTGGGCGGCTATATAAGTGTGAGTGTGCACATGAATCTGCGTTTTGACAAACTCTTTACAATAACTATACTCCACTAATGCTGTAAACCAGATTGAGAACAGTAATAATAACACAGAGCAGAACGGAGAACTGAATGAAACATCACACTTAGAATGACAATAACAGAGGAGCCTCATTTTGTTCTGTTTCTTGACACAGTGTAACAGGTTGCTGAAACCTTTTACTTAGCTTATAGAATAGGTTCACTGTACACATCTGGAAACAAAAAGTTCACACTCGCTGTGGTTTAGTTCAGTCAGACTTCGCCAATCACCCCCCCTCTGAAAGACTGAACATTTGCTCTGCTATTCATTACATTGCATTTACTAAGAATCAGACATTCCATTTTAATTTGAGATTAATGGTTACCCTGAAGGACAGATAACACTGAACCAGAGGGGGAAATGTAAAGGTAACACAGATGTGATCTCTGTTCAACATCCTTTCTGGTTGGCAGCTACCTTTGTAACAAATTGTTTTGCTTTTCAGTGAAAGACAAAATCACACAAACTATAGCCAATAACACGCTTCACCAAATAGCACTTAAGAAAAACCTCTCCTTATTATAATCCACAATTTCTACCCACCTTTTAATCACTTGCTGTTATTTTCCTTTAGTGATTCATTCCAAAATGAGACAGATTGACAAATTAAATACGAATAAAATGAACTGCTGGACTAATTTGTGAATAACAGTAGATGCATATTTTGGAGTGAAACCCTAACAACATTTAAGTTCTCTGTCTGTGGCAAATGATTTCTAGCTTTAAAAGACATTACTATACCACCACATTTCACCTAGAGTAGCTCTTCAGTCCCTGAGCACCTGTCTTCATTGCACATAAACATTGTCAGTATTCTTTTATCAATTAACTAAAACTATCTAAGCATCACCTACTTGCTTAAAACTACCTTACATCCTCACATACAGTGTTCATTTTGTAACTCACAACTAAAATTCAGTGTCTAATTCATTACTATTAAACATCCTGAGGTGCTTCCCTACAACTTAATCAATAAACACTGAGGCTACCAGCTAGCCAGTGTATTACGGAAGGAGGCACTATGCTGCATTGAGTGTTACGATGCCCTTCAGGTGGTTCAGTTATGTTTCCGGTGGGACGAAACAATGAGACTCTGCAACAACATATTACTGCATTTGGAGTATAGGTTTCTCCTAACTGCTCAGCCCTCTTATTTCCATGGGTGGCTCACTGAGCGCACAGTAGCAGCAGTATAGTATGTGACTCAGTATGTTTACATGTGCACAATATTCTGGAGTCCAGCTCATATTTCCCTGGTCAAAATGGGTATAAGCTGTATATTTGCAACTTTATACTGCAGTAATGGATAATGCAGGACACAAGAGCATATAAGTAGTATTACTGTTAATTTCCTTGCTATCCTGGTGAGAGCTTGTTCAGCATGTGGTAAATTTGTTTTCTTGTTGAGACTTAGATTAGATGCTCCAGCCAGTGTTGTAGTTGAGTCACTAAACCTCGAGTCCAAGTCGAGTCTCAAGTCCCCAGTGTTCGAATAACCCGAGTTGAGTAGCCGTTACCCAAGCTAGAGTCATCAAGGTCAACATTAAACACAAGAGACACACAGCCATCACCATTTCATATTCCAAATTTCCTAACAGTGTATTGCATCATTATATTGCTTGCCAATAAATAACCTGCCAAATTATTACGACCTTATAACGAACATTAAAAAAAAAAGTCAGTCCTTAGCAACTTGCAAGTCCGAATGCGGTCAGTGGGACTTGAGTCTGAGTCCTGGACAGTGCTACAACACTGGTTCCAAATCTTCTCATCTCAATCTTAGTAACAAAGGGAATAAATGCATTTCCACCGGAGCATGCCCTGTCTATTGTTAACGGCCCACTGCTTTTACAAGTTTTACCTGTTAGAAGATCAGAATATGGATGCACAAGTAAACACGCCCTACATAATTTCCAAGGCAGGACACTTCTGACACCTCAGCTGTCATCGTAAACCCACAAAGCACTGGCATTGCATGGTACCGCACCTAAATTTAGACATGAGTGCAACTTCATGCAAAAAACAAAACAAAAGCACTAATCATACAAAAGCAATGACGGAACATTTTACAGGAGATCACCTGCATGTCGGGGTGTTCCCATGGTCATGTGTTTACAGTATTTAATATACAGAATGATCTGCTGCTATGGAACATGTGGGGGGGGGGGAGCACAGCAAGACGTTCTTGAGCAGTCATGAGGAAAATTATTGGGTAATTACAGTTTTTGTTTACAGCACAACATACACACTCGCTAATTAGACACATCTTGCTACCTGCAAGGTGTGAAGAAACTTTTTTTCACATAGTGAAATCCTGTTAGATTACAGCATGCATTACTCTACGTGCTAATGCCAGAGGGAGCTGTTGTTGTTGTTGTTGTTGCTGATTCTTTCCAGTTGATGACTGTATGTCCTCACAAGATGGGATGGTGGCGTTCTTCTCTCAGTGCTTCTGTACCCTCAACGTGCCTGGATACAAACACAGAGGAGCAGATTTAGTGCTGCTGACAACCTGCACAAGCCTGGATGATTTAGATAAAAAGTATAAATGATTTTGTGGCACTGTGCCACACTGCCTTCCTGCTCTCAGATGGAGGGTGCTGCTATAGCAGCTCATTATAGAGAGCCAGACATGTATATTATTGGTTGCTAAAGGTGCCATGCAGTAGCCAACTCCTCCAGACCAAATAATGCTACCGTGTTTGTTGCTGTGGAAAGTTGAGGTACTTCAGGCTACTTGTTTCTATAAAAATTATTATATACAGAAACCAAGAATAGCTGTGGTTGCAATAGCTTTATTTCATTCCAAATAACAAAAGTTTTTTTTGTGATAAGACAATTAACATTAACATTTTCTCCTGAAAGTGATTTATTCCATTATCAAGCTTGTTTTCTGAAGATAGTTAACCCATTATCATGAGAAATGTACTAGAAATAACAGGATAAGTAACTATATAAAATAATATCACAATAAAATAAAGCTATTATAACCACAGCTTTTCTCAGCTACTGTAGTGTGTTTTTATGCTTAACTTAATAATTATAATTCCTCCTTTCTGTTCTTCATTCTGGTTCAGTTGGCACAAAAAGGAAATATTGCATGATTATGTTTTGGCCAGTCTCTGAGTCGTATACTATATATATAGGATCACTACACAGATAACTGTCCCTGAAAGAAATAATTAGGAAACTAGTGTATTAGCATGTACTTGGACTCACCTCTGTCCCCACCGTTCCTCATATTGGTCTCCTCTTCCTCTCCCCCGTGATCTACTTTAAACATAAAACCTGAGATTTCAGTGGTGATGTTTTTGGTCACTATGTACTGATTCAGACATGGAGAAAAACATCAGATGTGGGTGTGAGAGTAACACAGATGCAGAGAAATATGCCCATTGCACAGACTTTATTACAGCATGTTCAATTCCTTGGTAAAGGCTCAAACCCCAGGAACTTTAATAGCCTGAAACAGATGAGAGAAATGTATTATAGACTAACCTGAATGGAGCTCTTTCACCAGCGATGACATGGTGTTTGTGATTGAATCAGCAGCAACTAATAGATCATTCCGAAGATTTCTAGGTACACCTGGGCAGCAGAAATGGTTTCAAACCAAAGTAAAAACACTTGTAGTTATTTGTCCAGGAATATAATTTTACAAAGGTAGTTGTGGTGTTAGTTTATCGGCATTACAGAGGAAATATCCACGCTCAGTAACTTCTATACTATGCATATATTCTATAATGAATCCTCTTTGCACACTCACCCTGAGCGAAGGCTTCCAGCACGTCCCCTCCCACTCCGGCCAGGCAGTCTTGCGGTGTGTGAGTTGGGGTGGACCCAGCTGAGGTGGAGCGTATGGGCATGGGCATGGAGCAGCCTGCACCGTGACTGGGGGAAGAATGAGGGGACCCTCCAGACTGGGACTGCAACGTAAAAAGACCTGCAGTCATCACAATATCATCAGCAAACAATTCAGCCTCCAAATTAGAAATAGATTGTATTTGCCCTAAAACAGTCACGCAGATGGAGAATAAAGTTTTGTTAATTTTCCTTATTTGTCACCTCAAAACATAGGGGTATTTTCCCTCAAAGATATTACTTGGGTTACAGTCTTTAGGCTAGCTGTGCTAACCGGTAGCTTCCTATTTACCATATAGATGTGAGAGTGGTATCAGTCTTCAGTAAGAAATCATATTTCTCAAAATGCCCAACTATTCCTTTTAACTCGGCTTTAGTCAGAATACATTTGAAAATCTCACCACGTTATTTACTGTATGTGTTTGACTGTGACAGGTGCAAAGAGACTAGATTACCTGTACTTTAAGCATATACACAGTGTAAAGTTAACAGATAAAACATATTTGGTTACTTTCATGACATACTGGGAAGTCTAATGTGTGCCAACTTTAGTGAGGAAAAAAAAAATTAGATCCAGTTAACCTCTTCATCAACAAAGCCAGCTCTGGAACACTGCGTTTCAGTTGTAGATGCCATACTGCAAGCACAGATTGCTGGCCTTTTTTTTCTCAAGGTGACTTTATTAAAACAGACACAGATGTGACCAAAAGAACTTAATCTTTTTAAGGAGAATTAAGAAAAACAATGGTTTAAAGGCACCCCCATACTGGCTGGTTAAAATCTGTGTTTCTCTAATGCACCTTTACTGCATCAAAGAGGTAATGGGAAGCATGTGCGGGTGAGCGACTGGGGCTTGTGCTGAGTTGTGAGCTATATCTCACAGAGAAAGAATCACTGTGTCACTACGGGACTGGTGCAGGCCCAGGTTGATGGATTGGAGCCAAGCAGCAGATGGGCAGCCAAACTGCAGTCACATTAGAACAGAGGTTGTTAATGCCATTGAAAGGAACGGGTCCCTGATACTTGGGCTAAGAAATACCCAATTCTCTCAACATGTTTGGAGCATAGACGTGAGAAGCCAGGTTTGAAAGAATGTCTCTCTCCATGGTTTAGGCTCTCTAATACTGCTAGCAAAGAAGTGGCGGAGTGACCGGATCAGTGTGACCCGCTTAGATGGTGGAATCCTATCTTTCCTTATGTCTTTTTAAAATCTATTGTGAAAACCTCTTTCAGTTGTGTGAACAGGGGAAGTATAGTGGCATTACATTAAGTGCTGTGACTAGAGGCCTGGTATTTAGTCTCGCAAAATGGATTAAGGGAAACTTACAGCCTGCTTCTGCTCCTCATCCTATCAGCCACAAAGGTAAGCAGAGAGAGAGAGCAAGAAGAGTGAGAGTAACAGAATTAAAGCAGTGAAAGAAGAAGAGGAAAGGGATTTTTGCATGCATACGTACGGCATATTATTGTAACTTCTAGTCACTGCAGTGTCTTGTTTAATAAAATTTATTAACATGTCCACATTTAATGTCATCAAATGCCAGATGCCACCAAGCTATAAAAACCCAATTGTGTAATACAGATTAGCACTGACAAAACCCATAAATTGCTGAAGAACAGCAGATGTAAGACATTTAATGTCTGCACTGTTGCATGATATTAACACTGATTGAGAGGCTCTTTTTTTCGTCTCACTTAAGAGCTACATCTTCTAGAAGCAGGTGATGGTCTTACCTTTAGCAGCCTCATGAGCCCCTCCAGCTGCACCATCAGCTCTCGTCTGCTCTCCTGCAGGGCTGACATGCGCCTCTCCAACTCATCCTTCCTGTGCCTGTGACGAAAGGACAGAACAAAAAGTTTGGGGGTACATTAATCAAGATTAAAATTACTTGCTTTCTCAAAACAACAGGACATAATTTACAACATACCTAAAAAAAAAGCCTTGAATTTATACATAAAAGATAGTTTGGCTGCAAATCTCAAACCAGTTTGCACTTTGTACCCTACTTTGGAAGCACAAGCACTTAACTGGCAGATTCTGACTGAATTTGGACAAATGGTTGTAACCTGAAAAATCTAAGCTGATCTATCTAAGTGCTCTATTTTTATTCCTATTTATCTCATTTCACAATGAGCATGGCTTTGTCTGTCTGCATTGTTTACTGCCTGTTTATACTGCTTATTTTGTATTGTTTGCACTGTTTGTTGCTTGTTAATACTACCTATTTTGTTATATTACACAGCCTTATGCTGGTTTGCTGTTTACTTGCCCCTTGCATGGGGATATGTACATACACATTGAGAGCCTTTGTACCAGAGTCAAAGTCCTTGTGTGTCCAACACACCTGGCCAATAAAGCTGATTCTGATTCTGATTCATTGGAAGAATTTTGGAATTATATTCTGGAGCCAGTTCATTAAGTGCTCATTAGACCAGGTTCTAAATCTTAAAAAGTTTGTTTGCAAAATATTTCATAAATGCATACATTTCCTGTACATTCCTTTGCAGTAGATATGTGTGAGGATTATGATTTTTTTCATGCCACGGAGGCCCAGACTTTGCCTTTAGTTGCCCTTTCACGCAGCAGGAGATGTGAGATGCATTCTCACCTATTGGAAATACTCCGTTTGGTTTATGTGAGGGGGGGCCAACTAGAGCAGGATGTGGGGGATGACACCGTCACGTAGTCGGTTTGTAATTTGGTCATAAACAACAGAGTCTCTTGCTGTACCTTAAATTTGTCTGAAGATTCTGGTGCTGGCTCTTAACAACAGAAGCTCCCGAATCCTGTTATGTCTCCAGTTAGATATTTTTGTTGGCGTCTTCATTGTAAATGACCGTTTGTATTCCTTCAGTTTCATTCCAGTCACATGATACAGTAAGTCATCAACATGTCCACCTGCTCACTGTGAATACTCCAGACTATAGGCAGCTGTATTCTCACATGGGCTCACTCAGACATTACACAGACTTTGTATTGGATAGCTGGCAGGGTAAAGTCCGCTTAAGGTCTGGGTCGACTGACATTTGTGTATTCACATACAGCTCCTCTGGGTAATGTCTAGAGAATTTCAGGGTCCCAGTGCATGTCTGAAAAGGGCTTACATTTTCCATTCAGCAAGCAGCACCTAGCTGTACAATTAGTCAACACTGTGTAGCACCAAAATGGCCTTTTATGAACCAGAAATGTTGCTCTGGAGCAATTAGAGGTGGAGCAATTGTTTAATCTGAGGGACAAAGCTACTGTTCTCCAGGAAGACAGTACAAACAGCAGCATGTGTTGGGCAGAGTGACAGGCATGAGGAGAAGGAGAGGAAAAACCTGATTGCTTTATTGTTTTTTTTATTTACTGTTGACAAAAGAAGTTCCAGTAAAAAAAAACAAAAAACAAAAAACAGGTCACCCCTGTTCAGTGGTTGTGTTTGACCACCTTTGTTGTCTTATCATTACCCTCTGGTGTTCAGCGTTTGTAACTGCATTGTGAAAACACAGGGCAGCAATTATTCATCTGACTGAAGTCATCCTCTCAGAGACTCACAAACATCTCCAGAGTGAAAATATCTCTGCTCTGTTCTGTATCCCCGGGATGAATAAAGGCGACATTAGAGCCATCCAACCGGGCTCCAAACACAGAACACAGCCTGTGATAAAACAGTTTCCTATTATAATAAAGCCTGAATCACAAACAGGTGCAGTCAGCTGAACAGTGCTTCCAAACATGTTTGAATTAAAACTGGGAGAAATAATAACTGGAATAAGTGTTTCCTCCAGGTATATAAACAAATTTATCTTAATGTGTTTTTTTTTTTCAAATTCATAATTAGATTTCTGTAGATACAATAATTCTTTTAGGTGCTTAAATTGAGAAACGTATTCAGATATTTGCTGTAACTATATATAAGTGACAGTAATGATGTTCTAGTTTATGTTGTAAATGATAAACTTGATAAACTAATTTAATTTTATAAACTCTGTTGCGGCTTTTGACCTTAATCCTTACTGCACTATTTAGGGCAGATCAGACAAACAAGGAGTCATTTAGGGCAAAAACGTGCTGTGAAACAACAGCTCGGGGTGAATCTGTTCCAAGAACTGAACCCAAGGGCCTCGGTGTCCTGTCACTGTGATAAATGCCCATTCTGCTGCTGGTGAAGCTAATTCAAAAACATCCTCCTAAATTAGAAAGACATTATTTCTGCATGAAGGATGAGCTCAGCCTACATAAATACAGCAGTGGTCTTGGTACTAGATGAAGCGGAGTAGAGGTGGTGACAGGGATGATACCTAAGGAGTCGCAGTTCAGTCAGAAGCGTAGGGTTCTGCTGGCCTTTCTCTGGTGTCGGCTGAGAGGCCTGTTCGTGCTCCAAACGCAGCCTCTGGATCTCCTGGAGGATCTCCCTGACGAGATCCGAAAGCCAGTTAATAAATCAGCAGTGATGAAGAACTGAGATTTATTAATTTAGTGGAAGCAGTGTTGCTGTACAGTATTGTAAAATAGTCAGTTGTAAGTAAAAGTCCTGACTTCAGAATGTTACTTAAGTAAAAGTACAGAAACGTTATCAGCAAAATGCTCAAATACTAAAGTAAAATACCTACAACCAGTACCTACTATATGTACAGTTCCTATGTTAATGTACTTAGTGACACCACTGCCAGTCAGTTAGTACAAAATCATGCCCGGTCTCCAATGAATATGTGATATTTCAGTGATAGGTTGCACCTGTTTTTGTTCTCCAGCTCTGCAATCAGCTGTCTCTGCTGCTTATTGGCATCAAAGTTGAAAGTCAGATCTGTCGGAGGACATTGTTGCTGAAAAACAAAATGATCACAGAATGATGTTAACAGTGGTGTGCAAACCAAAGTCCAACACCAAGCCAGGTTAATGGGTTTTAAAGTTTACAATACTTAAAAATTGGAACTGCACAATGCCATGTTTCACTGTGGCTGTGTAATGATTGTGATAGAAAATATGTCTCCAAACAAAGACAACAGTCATTATGGGCATTTGTTTAAACAGCTGATTACACTGTGTCCCGCTGTTGGCTGGAAAACTACTCGTATCATGCACAGCAAGAAACCAGATCAAGGTTACAGTTATTATTGACTGACTTCTTCATTAAAACTATTTGATTTTGTTTGGCTGCACTGTAAAAAACAAAAAAAACACCAGATGCTCTTCTGTTGTACAGTATTTCTGATCTAGCAGTGGTTTTAGGAGAAAGAAAACACTTATCCTTCTCTTTCTTCTTTAAGAGTGTTTGCATTAAATCGTGCTTGCTTTTCCCATGTAAACCACAGCTGTTGCCAAATCAACAGAGAACATAAATCTTAAGGAATGTAACTTTAAGGCAGATGACAGGTGTTTTCTTAAGTCATCATGCTTCACAAAAGCCTATCAAACAAGTAAAATGAAAAAGAAAACACTTATCCTTCTCTTTCTTCACTTGTCTTACAAAACATAGTTATTGTACAGTTTGACTTGTACAGAAGAGGATTAGGGCCACTGTACAAAATTTGAGTTTTGACTTTTTTCGTCAGAATCATGAGAAAGAAGTCAGAACTCAAATAAGTTTTGTACAGTGGCCCTAATCCTCTTCCATATGCTTGTAAGTGTGAGTAGTCTTGAAACTGTAGCTGTAACACATTCACTGCAGGTTTTCTAGCCACAATAAAGCATAAAAACCTTGTCAAAGCATTAACTGTGCACTACAGGCTCAGTGAAGCCCACCACTGGGCATCCTGTGAGACTCTTACTGAGGAGTTGCCTGCTTCGGCTGCCAAGCGGGCAGCGTAGCGAGCGATGAGGCGGTGCTCCTCATCTAACCGGCTAGGACTCTCCAAGACACTGCAAAGACGGAAAGATGCATCACTCACACAACACAGCAACACTAATATCATAAGCTCTCATTAAAGTAGAAGCAAAACTTTGTACGGTCAAAGTGACTATGTAAAAGAATGCACATGACATAAACTTTAAATTTAAGGTGGTCTTAATATATAACACTTGGCTTTCGATCCACTGTTGCTAGACAGTCTGTGATCCCAGTGAGCTGAGATGAATAAGAGAGAATGGAGCATGCCAAATGCGTTTGTGGCTGTGCCAATGTCCATTCTGGCCTTTTCATCACTGACTGGAAATGTCAAATAAAGCATGAGACTTTAAACCATCATGGGTGTGGCATATGGTGCAGACAGATGACAGGACATATGCTGTCCTTCCTCAGCAGGCGGCCTACAATGAGGAGCGAAGGAGCGCTGAAATGGTGCTGGGTGCTCGCTGACTGACTGGAGAGTGAGTGATGATTAAGACCATTAAACCCAATCTGGCTTCAGACACGCTGCATCAACAACCACCATCGCGGCACGATTCAGTACCCAAGTCCAAAACACGTTGCCAACAAGCCTTTTAACTGACACTCGCATTAAAACCTTATTGTTCACAATGCAAGATTTATTTTTTATTTTTTTTAAAAGCCAGTGTGATGAGATAATTTTAGCTGGCTGCTACCATGCTTTCATTTCACTGATGATGTCTTAAAATATGTGGCGAATCATTCGACTTGTTTCAAGATGTTGTCGCCTAATTCTGTTGATCTGCACCAGGAAGATGTGAAATCACTCCACAAACATGTCAAAGCACTTTTTTTGAGGAACATGTCAAAAAATGGGACCCTTTAAGTCAGTTAAAGTCTCGTCTTCCTGCTAAAGCATAGACGGAGCCTGAGCTTTGTAGCTGGATTAAGGTAATACTTTGACAAACCTCAGAGGGCTGCTTGGTTTGGCTGAAACAATGGTACGAAGAAGCTGCTCCTGGCTTTGTCTCTTCTCTCTGTACTTCCTGATGATCTGTGCCAGGTTTTGAACAAAGATGCATGAAACACCTTGAAGCCCTCATGGACTGGCATCTTTCCCTGGCACATTTATTTTAGTCATACATGAGCCTTTTTAAATTCAATATCTCATCTCAGACACCGCTGGTTCTACTTTTGTTAGAAAATGGTAGACAATATTCATGGGTCAAAGGCCAAAACTTTGGAAGGCCAGAGATTTGAAATGTTGAACATCTGGGGTATGATGCATCTTGTTTTTCTGATGTCTGATAGTGATATATAACATAAAACCAGTTTTCCACTCATCTACTTACTTTGCAATTTGTGAAGTTGTATAAACTCTTTTGTTGAAGTTCCCAAGCTACTTCACATCTTCTCTCAGTTAAAAATTGTAACTTAACCATTAATGGCCAACAGATTCGCACTAAATAAAGCCGAGGCGGCTGTGGCTCAGGAGTCAGAGCGGCTTGTCTCCTAAATGAAGGATTAGCGGTTTGATTCCCGACTTGTTCAGTCCACAAGTCGAAGTGTCCTTGAGCAAAACACTGAACCCCAAGTTGCTCCCAGTGATGACACCGGAGAGTGTGAACGGCCAAACAGTGTGAAAGTGCTTTGAGTGTGCTGCAGTGCATAGAAAAGCGCTATACAAGTATAAGACCATTTGCCATCTCGATTGTTTCTACATTCATTCAGTCATGCGTCCTGCCTCGGGTCACATTAATTTACATTAAAATCATCTTAATAAGTTACTCACAGCGAGGTTTACAGATCTTACATGTGAGAAATCTGATAACATCTGGTACCGTGTACTAGCAGATGCTCTGAGTTAAGGTGTCTAAATTGGTAACAGGAGAGGAAAATTCAGATTAGTGGATCCCTAACATTCAGTAAGTGCACACTAACCTGTGTAGGACTGGATTCAGGTACTACACAGTTTTAAAATTGATTTAACTGTAAACCGACTGTTTAATTCCATTATGGATTTGTAAAGTTATAGGAGAAATCGGTTAACTAAGTTAAAACTCCTCAGGCACAAGACAGTATTTTCTTTGTTTTTGTTCATTTTATCTGCTCCCGCTGTGGTTCTGCATGACTAACAGGTAATAAGCTGCACAGGGCTGGTTTGCCCTTGGAGGACCGGTGAGCGAGCGCGAGGTGGGAGGGAGCAGATGCCATGTCAGCAGGGCAGACGGTATCAGAGATAAGACTGTGACGACAACATAATCTTTAAACTGTGCATTCAGTTTTGACTGTGCATGAACACGATCATGAACATGCTCTGTGTTTTTTTATTTTTTTATTTGATAAAATAGCTAAATCTGACAGGACAGCATTAGTGCTGCTTTTCTGTTTGGGGTTCTTGAACTGAGGCAGAGCCACAAGGAGCTTTTACATTATTCAGCAGTGTCTCATAAACCCTTCACTGGCCAGTAAGCAGACAGGCAAGTGCAGGATAATTGTGATAACAGATTAATATTTACAAACCAAATGTGATGCACAGAGAGGCTGGTAGCAAAAGACCTTCTGTGCTCTGAAACCAAGCCTACTGTAAGTGAAACCTGCTCCTTTCCTCCTCATTCAGCACCTTATCTATGAAGATCCAGCTTGGCACAACACAACCTGTTTTGGAAATGTCGCAGTGGCTTAATGTGCTATTTCTACCCTAAAAGCAGCAGTGTTGTAGCTGCAGTGCCCTCAGTTCATGACATCTTCCCAAAGCATCTCTGACTCACAGAGCGAAATATCAAGACAAAGTTTTATCAGGCTTCTTCCATTACTGCCACAGTGAAACATTTATTAGGACACCGTCACTTCCTGTGATTTGATGCTTGATCTGTATATGAAGCATCGTTTACCACTTCAGGTGTTCCTTCCTCCAACTCTGCTCTAATCCTGATACCGTTAGCCCTCGGAGACAAAACTACACTGCACAAAATGTTCATCTCGATGGGAAATGTAACCTAGTACGCTGATTGTTAGCGTCTCAATTTCTAAACACAGAGAGAAAATCCTCCATCAGTGTTAAGAGTATTACACTTTCTCCAGAATGTGATGTTATTTCAGTGGCATTACCTCATCCCTTTGGCAAATTGTTATGATTAAAATGACACATTTTAAGGCTCAGTTTTCCTGTGATGGATATTTTTTGCAGTGTGCATGCTGTCCTTCAGCTGCCCAAGTCCTTGATGTTGTACTGAAAGATAACCCAGCCCAGGGGAGCACAAGTGGAAAAAAACAGCCACAGACTTCTTCCAGGCTCTTCCTGAATTGTCAACAAAAGCTTTTCAAACAAACATCCAATCTTAAACAGGGTGGATAGTCACACCTCTGTTATCTCCGTACACTAGACAGCGATATCTCCTGCCCCTAATGTGCTGTGGGAAGCCCTGAGTCCCTGAATAGTGCAAACACAAACTGCGTTAAAGATGTGAAAGAAAGCTACTTTACACAAAAGAGAAATTCACCTAGTATAGGCCTGTGGGACAAAGTGCAGAGTGCTCTCCATTACTGGATTCATAACCACAATGGTTCATTACCACTGAGTAAATAAGGATAGAGGTGGCCTTTAACTGAGAGGGGCTGAAATGAGAGGACAATTAGGTTGCACTCGCAGGGTCCTGCCTGCTATCTGCTTACATGATGAAGCTCCAGTTCTATCATAATCTGTTTGTCAAATCAGTCCTTTATGTAGGAGTGCTCGCATATTCTTCATGACAGCATAACAAATTTTCCTCTAAAAATACACCCACAGGGGTATGTTGCTCAGATCCACAGTGCAGGGGAACAAATAACATTTGTAGTCTGATTTGTCCTGCTATTTTTATTTTCACCAGTGAGAAAGAATAGGTCACCTCTTCTGAGCACAGACTAACGTCTATGTGATTAAAAGGACTTATTTTGTATGTGTCTAACTTTAAAGTGACATTTTCAAGTAAATAAACACATCAGAGGTAATTAGCACAAACGTAAACCCTCGTCTAAATAAAATCTTCAAAAACACACTATGCCTGGGGGTGCTTACCTTTTGGTAGGAGTAGGTGTCCCAGAGGACATGAGCATTGTGTCGTTCATGTTGTTGACCACTGGTTTCGGCTGACTAAAAGACAAGATTAGAGGTCTTTAATGCTACACTGCAGAGCCCTGTGGTGCGTGTCACCAGGGAATGGGGGAGAAGGTATTTGCATTTTATTAATAATCATGAATCAGCAGTCCTGACTTCAATTTAATTCAGCTGTACAAAAGACCGTTAAGGAGGGGGGAGGATCGTTACAAGCTGCTGAGTGTGGTGCACAACACAGGCAACATGCTGTAGTCAAGTTAACTTTAAATTGTTGCAAAATAATCGACTTTTCCAGGAATAGCAATTTGGATGTTTTGAGGCAATTAGCTTAAACCTAATTAACATGACCAAGAGAAACAACAGCAGTCAAGAAATCTAATTAACGTGGAAGTCTGAAAATCTAGGAAAAGTGACATTGTGGGAGGTAATTTGTGAGAGATAACAAAACGATGGGGTCCATCTGGTGACTGAATCAGTGGCCCCGGCGAGCTCATCGGAGCCCGACCACAGAGTCTCATTAGCGGATCAAAATATCACTCTGCACATCTCAGGTGCTCTCAGCTTCACTCTTCATCCTGCACAGAGGAAAGCAGCCACTCATGACAGCACTTGATTTCCATGCATCGGTAGTTGCATCTCCTCAGTCTGCACTTAGTAGCTCTGTAGTTATCTGCCTATTATAACCGAGTGTTTTATTTATAAAGCTCATTATCGCATTAGAGGGAAAGCACTGAATACTGTTGTATCCTATTATGCTTTATTTTTTTGGGCAAACCAAACTGTTTATATCCACATTGTGCAGAATACTATTATCAGCATGAAGCACTGAGAGCATCTATTCCCCCCCTATGGTGCCAAAAAAAAGCTTCAGCAGCACACACAGTCTTTTTTTTCTGTACATTATCATGCTACTAAATACACAACAGAAATTAGAGCAGCATAAACAGCATCAGCATCATGGATGTTTGTTTTTTTATATACCGGTTCATACCCTGAGCAGATTCAGAAAGAAGCCATGGGCAGCCCTACATGAGTAATTCATCTGCCTTAATTTGTAGTTTCTTAGGCTATTTGTACAAACACCATCCTGCTAGTATGTTTCAAGCAATATGACAATAACAACAAAAGGAAAAAGCAACTGTTACTTCCCAAATGTGCACATGCTTCCTTGCAGTCTCCTTCTCAGTCTATGTGCACAGATACTTCAAATACGACCCCAGTGCGTGTGAAAATGTTAACCTCTTATTTAATGCTCATTACATTACAGTAATCCAGCCTGAAAGTGAGCTCCAGACAGAAAACGAGACATGAGGCATCACACTTACCTCTGTGAGGAGAGAAAGCACCTGCCTCACTGGCAAAATACATCCAAGTGCTGTTGTTGCCAGATGCCTAATCTGTCCTCAACTGAGCAAGTGAACATCTCAATGTACTACACTGCTGCTGTCTCCAAGGAAACTCGACGGTCATGTGACTTTATGACGACGTAGATTTGTCTCTCTATCTCTCTCTCTCTCTCTCTCTGAAGCTCTCTGCTCTAACTCTGTCTTTTCACCTCTCTCTAACATGAATAGACACGGAAAATTAGGGAAAAGCCGTTTGCTCCGAGTATCTTAATTACAGCCTTTAAAAAAAAAAGCACAAATCTACTCTCATTCCCTCAGGAAAAAAACCTGTAACAAACTGGTATCTACTGTTTATACATGTCTTAACTCTTCCCCTACCTTCAGTGAGTTACATCAATCAAAGCTCTTCACAGCTATTCTATAAATAATCATGAGTCCTTATTGCATATGCCAGTACAATTTGTGGAACAACAGGGCACAATAGAAAACAGAATTTCTTCTTACAGTAAGTAAATGCATCTTTATAGCATATTTAACTTTCCTCTGAAATTTGGATTCATTCTAACATACGTCCTAATTGGTTCTCTGACTGAACAAATGCTGATTAAGGACACTCGGTCCGGACATTCAATTGCTGTCTCAGAGGTCACATGGGAGTGAACTGACACAACATTTAGGCACCAAGAAATCAAAGTCTGCAATGCGCTAAGCCTCATGCTACCTGTGTGCAGTGAATGACAATGCTCCATCTTTTTCCTTGTACTTGGCAGTTGGCAGAGCTACTGGGAAAATTAAGTGTGGTGGCACTTTGTACACACACATTCACCTTATTTCTGACAACCGCGAATGCACGGCTGCCTTCATTCCTCCTCAGCTGGCTAAAAATATTACACAAACATGAAGCATCCTCTCCTGCTGGTGACAGTTCTCCTATTTCTCCCCGAGGCTGTCACTGCCTTGGCCATAAAAACCCAATGGATGATGCTCACTGTTCTTCTATTTTAATGACAGTGATGGAATTTGCATTGACCCAGAGAATAAAAAAAGATGTAAAACAGGGCAAAGCTTTTTAAAATGCTAAGGGATTTCTGGGGATTATAGAGTGTGAAATTGGTTGCTAAATGTTAAACAAGGCACAGAGAGTTTGATGCAATAACATGTTCCACATTAAAGCAAAGTACAGTAGGATTCCAATTTTCAGCTCTATTTTGGTGCTGGAAGTCTTTTTGCTAAGGTTGAAGGTAAGAAGTTGTATCATGGATTTAAAGTTCCTGAGACACACAGTGCATCCCACACCTACAACTCCTCTGAAACACAGATCTCAAAGAACCTCCCTGACAGTCTGAGTGGAGGGAAAAATTCACAGCTCAGCTCACTCTGTGCTTTCAGATGCCGATAAATATTTCAGAATGGTATCAGAATAGAAGCACATTGTCTGAAGACGAGGTGAGGGATGCCCAGCAGGGAGACTTGAGTCCGTTCGATTTTGAAGTTTGATCAAACCTGAAGCTCTACCCCAGTTCTACCACTACTACTCACTCACAGTCCTCACACACATATACACACACCTGAGAGACCGTGCTGGTGGATGTCTCCTGATATACAGTATGAAATAACACCTCTTTACAGACAGCATTCATCAGGACTGGCAACGAGCTGCACTAGGTTTAGAATACCAGCGGTGTATTTCTCTCTCTGTTATGTGTTGTCAATAACGTAATGTAAAATTGGAGGCTTAGCAATTTTCCTGTGACTAATTGTCCGAGTCTCGATCGAGTCTGAGGAAAGTTTTCTGTAGCCAGCAGGGAAATCAGCATGGGAATAGTAGGCAGATACTGTCATTACTCTACTCACCCATAGTTTTTCTGAAATTGACCATTAACAAATGGGACTCACTCCATTAGTGCCGGTTCTTTTTTATGGCTCATGGCTACAAAGAGTGCAGAAAATGTACAAATGGTATGTTGGAGTAGAAGAAACTGTTCAAGTAAAAGTTGGGGATTATGCTAATTTGCTATACTGCTGAGAGTTAGGTGAGAAAACTGATGCCACTCTCATAAATTCATTCAATATGAGGCTATAGCCAGCAGCCAATTAGCTTAGTTCAACAAACCAGCTATACCAGAAACATGATTCACCTTTCAGCACCAAGGTCACTTATTTGCATGTTGGTTGTTTTATCTGTAGAAGAACACTGGTATAAAAATGGTGGAGTCAGCAAGTCCAGCCAAGGAACAGCCCAGCCTATAGCAATTCTATATAAACAACTGGAATATAACAGGTAAATGACGATGCGGGTTTTGTTACCTGTGCATAGAGCCAGGCTAGCTGTTTGTAGAGTTTATGCTAGGTTACACTAATGTCTCCTAGCTGATAAGATTAAATAAGACAAGATGACCTTTGTTGTCCTCATAAGGACATTTGTGGTACACTCTGTTTCATGCACCAGGAAAACAGAAACATTGCAAACTGTACCTATATATTTAATGGAAAGACACAAAACTGGTACTGATTTTCTAACAGCTGCTGACTGATGCTTGATATTTAACAGACAGTTATAAGACTGGTATCAATCTTCTTTGAATGTTAGAATCTCATTAAAAGAATAGAAACAGGATATTTTGTCTGTGTGTGTGTATTCTGCTACACATATGCATATTCTCTGAAAATCAGTTAGTCATTTTGAAGACATGCATAGTTAAATCTGAACTAAAACTGAGAATTCTCAGATTAGAAACGGGATATTTTGTCTGTGTGTGTATTCTGCTACACATATGCATATTCTCTGAAAATCAGTTAGTCATTTTGAAGACATGCATAGTTAAATCTGAACTAAAACTGAGAATGCCATTCACTTATGAATACATATTTTGAAAGGCTGTCAGATTTAAAAGCATCTTTTCATGGCACGGTTGATGAGAGGCGCTACTTACTTATCGCACACAAATAAAAACATGAATGCTTCTGGAACCAAACAACCTTTTTCCACCATCTAAGACGGTGATTTGTGGTAGATACGTTCCCTGTGTCAGATGGAACAATAGAAACAGAAACAGACATACAAACAAATCTCAAGGGTCAGCAGCAGTCACATCCATTATCCTAAAAGTCAGCGAACGCACACACAGAGTTCCACAAACCTTGAAATGCCATTTACAAGAACAAGAAAATGCACTTTGTCCATTAAAGTCCTGAAGGAGAAAATATCATCCATTCACCAAATGTCCATTTTAGACGCATCACACAAGTAAACACACTTTTTTCCCCTCTGTGTCAAATGACCAGTGGTAGAAGTATTCACACTTTTTGCTCATGTTAAAAAAAAAACTATCAAAAATTCCCATTACAAGTTCTGCATTCAAAATTCTACATAATTAATAAAGTATTATCAGCAAAAAAATACTTAAAGTATCGCAAGTAGTACTTTTTCTGCAGAATGTTCCCCGTGAGTGGTATATTTTTGTGTATTGCATTATTAGATTGTTAGTACTCATGCGTAGTCATTCTCTTTGGTGGAACTGCTTACAAGTGTGACAAGGAGACCGAAAAAGACACTACTCTTTTTGGTGTCACAAGCAAAAATGGTTGGGAACCACTGGTTTAATCCCTAACAATATATTGTATTACAAGTATATCCTGTTTTTTTTAATGTAAATTATGTATGTGAGAAGTAACTAGCTGTCAGATACTTGTTCTAGAGTAAAAAGCACAGCAATTCCCACTGGAATTAAGTTTAGTAGAAGTACAAAGTAATAAAAATTTTAAATATTCAAATAAATGACCTCAACATAGTATGTACAGTACTTGAGAAATGGATCTGTTCATTTTCCACACTCACAAATGGCTAGCATACCCTTTTACATTCAACAAAACCATTAAGTTCGTGGAAAAATCATTCAAAGAAAAATAATTACAATAAAAAGGCTCTAGCTATAAAATCCAACATAACCAAGGGCCGCAACTGGACAGAGCTCAGTATCCTCGGGGCCTTCATCATCTCAAATTAGTATCATAGCCACAAATTGTGTTTTAATCAGTATTAATCTATTTATGTGATGCAATTTCATGCTATGAACTAATTCAGTCGACTCATCTCTCGGTGAGAGGGAAACACCTGGGTCGACAGTTCTCCCACTGTGATGAATTGTAAATGTATGCAAATGCAAATTTCATTTTAAATGCAGAATAATCCTACCGCCTGTGGCCAGAGCCTGGATGTGAGAACTGATTCAGAGATTATGGTATATATCACACAGTAAAACAGGAAGTCATGCTGATGTATTTACATTCTCTGAGCTGGTTTCTCCCCTATGATGTCGCTCGCTATCTGTTACCGACTGACGCTTGCCAGCAGCAAAAACCTACGCAGACAGCTTAGATTTATGGTCGTGACTGGAATATGAAGCAGAATTTTGTTATGAAATGTGCCATGAGAAAAATCTGAAAGCTCAAATGAGAAAGTTGGGAGAATTCCTTTGGTCCTACTAATGACATGAACATGCAAAATCATAAATCACTTTTTAAATCTGAAACATTATTAGATTTAGTTTTAGCCCAAAGTGTCAGAATTTTGGTGCAACTAATGAGAAAAAATATGAAGTGGCCGGTGGAACTGATCATGGAAATTGTATTATTTTTCAGCTAAACTATAAATGAATGTGTGGGGTTTAAGACGGCAGCAGAGCACAATGCATTTCATATAATGAGTTCCAGGAGCCTGGCATGTGAGATTTATACCATCGTCCCCATTTCCTTGCCAACAGACTGAGGACAGCTGTGCTGTTGACAACAGCAGTCACTGAACCTGTGTAGTATATCAGCATTTTCACGGTGGCAAATAGTCAGGGTGTTGACATCTGAGAGGGATGGCACTCTATCATTCATGTAAAGACAGATGGAGGCAGTTACATGATAAGAACAGACTATAGATCACGAGCATGCTGGGCTTTGCCGCTCTGTTAATCAATGCATCGGTTGGGTTTCCCTCATTAATGACACAAAGAGTGGTAACAAATGCTTTGGGAATGACACTTACACGGTATGGGTGAGTTCCTGAGGTCTCTCAGCCTGCTCAGGGAACACAGGATGCGGTGGCTCTCCAATGGGGACACAGCCTAGAGATTTACTAATTGCATGGCTCAGCTTTTTGGCTGGAGACTTCTGTGAGGAGGGCAGGAAAGAAAAAGTATTGTCACCTTGTCTGTCGTAACCACTGCCGCCATCTTGCTGACGTAGTAGAAACCATTTTAAGATGCTTCAGAAGCCATTTACATAACTAGGTCAACAGTTTGTTTACTGTGGCAAAAATGTGGATCGGTGGCAGTTTGTGCTCAGGAAGGGCTGGTTTTGTTGGCTGTTCTACAAGTTGCTGTGTTGCCCTACAACCCTAAACCTGCAATGCAATATGCTGCACGTAAGGGAAAAACGTTTACTAGGAAGGTTCCATCATCAGACAATTGAAGACGGTTTTATGATTGCAGAGTTGTTTGTGTGAGGCTTAAAAACTCTGAAATAAAACACAGTGTCCATTAAGTGTGCTTTAATTACCTTAGAAGACGGACTTTGACTGATGTGAGGCACATCAAAATTATTAAGTGCAGTTTCGTTATCCTCAAATCTGATGACTGTCATCTTGTTCTTGCCAAGTTAGAAAAGCATTTGAACAAAATTTTAGCGTCATTTCAAACGGGGAAAGTCAGTCCGATCATTTAATTTTAGGTCAAATAGGATTACAGTTCCTTAGGAAAGGATGATCAGTGTAGAATGCACCTTCAGTAGAGAAAAATGCAAATAAATAATAATTGCAGGACAAAGTTTCAGTCAGGATTTTAAAGGTTTCTCAGATCTGTTGTTGGGGGATATTTTTATAAAGTTGATGAACATCTTGTACTAAAAAAAAAAAAAAAAGATATAAACAGGCCTGTGAAAACTGCCCCTAAGTGCAGTGTCACAGTCGGAAAAATGTATATTCCAAATTGTGTGGTGGTAAACATGGGCTGTGTCCTAAAAGACTAGTAAACTGAGATTTTGAAGCATGTTTCAACATTTTGCACCATCACTGTGAAATGTATTGTTGCATAACATTAATTAACACATACTGCAGAAGTGGAACATTGCAGTGTTGTATATCTAGCAAAAAAGCATAGTACATGTTATAAACACTAATCATTTTGTCAGGATGCTGGAGAACAGTACAGTGCTGTTCGTTACTATGGTTCTGGTCTTTGCTACAGATGGTAAATTGCAACCATGTGCATGATTAATTTTATTTATTATATTCTTTTTATGAATGTATGAATTTTTATAAGGAACATTTATTTTTATTTACATAAAACTACTTTGCCTTGCCTTTACAGTGCATGCATTTTACATTTGACGCACAGATAGGGAGTGACGCAGCAACTGATTTCTGCATGAGCACAGGAAGGGACATGACCATTAACACTGCCAGATAATCAGAATAGAGGAGAATTGAAAACACTGTCAAATGCCAAAAGGTTTTGAGAACTGGAAACCAAGTGACATACAGTCTGGTGAACAGTGATGTGTTTAATAGATGTAGGATTTATATCAATATGTCACAAAACTAGGAAAACAGAACCTTCATGATAAATCACATTAATGTTTTGTGTTTGATGCACTCAGGCATGTCATTCCAGTCCTAAGGCTTCATGAACATTCAGTCTTCTCTGTGCACAAATTGAGTATGATGGAGATTGGTTTTGGGATCCAGCGCCCATGACTTCCCTTGTTTCAATTTATAACATAATGATCTCGCTTTCGGGGGAAGGCAGGAACATGACAAATTCAGTCAATACAATTTCATTTGCTGAAATGGCTAAAATCCTTCTTGGAGAGGAGAAGACAGGAAATGTAGGAAGATGGCTGAACAGTCTGCTACGCTGTAAAAACAATCCGGACTCATGCACTGACTTTGTTTAGAAAAGTGACAACACAAGGTAAAATCGAGAGTGATCGGGCATTTTGCCTTACCCAAGATGAGTGCTCCTTCATCTGGTGCTGGTTGCTATGGGGACCATTGGCATGGCCACGCCAGAAGCAGCTCTGACAAAGCTGGTAGCCGTGGCACTGTTGGCACCGATACCGGAAACCCATCATGCTCTCGCTCCGGCAATATGAACATTCCACAGGATGGAAGACTGAGTGATGAAAACATTTTCCGTCTGAGTAGTGACATATCTACTCACAGGGATACTGGCAAAATCCTCTGCATGCAGTTCGCTTTAAGGTGGTGGCCCCTGACCTTTTTATCAGATATATAACTAAGTAGATTTACTTGACTATATGCTGCCTTTTACTTGTATTTAAGTGTTTTACATTGTTGTTGTTATAGAACTTTAAGTAAAGGCTCAGAACATTTATTTCACTATTGGCCACAGCCCTGTTAAAATACCCCCATTTATCAACACTCCCCATAATTTCGGGTTCCAAACTTGTTAAACTGAGATGATTTAAAATGGGATGTTTTAACATTATTGCGCTTTTTTTTTTTCTCTCAGTTTGTTCAAGTTTGCATTTGTACATCCGCTTGGTGAGTCAGTAGCTGGATGTTTCAACTGTTTATTCTTATAAGGATAAGGCTGGTCTTTTTCTATATTAACAATATTTTTCAACACTCCTCATTCAGAGACTAAAACTGACAATGATTTGCCTCTACTCATGGTTAATACCTGTCAGTGTGTCAGTCCTGGATCAGCTTATTCATCTACTCCATAGACCTCTGTTGTTGTTCTAAACTGATTAAAAACACATCAGTGAAACACACCGCTGTTCTAGGTGACATATTTCTTCATTAGCAAACCCCAGACCTGAGGGTGAGGAGCTAATGGAATGTAAACAAAGCCTAGACCTTGGGAAGATCTTGCACATGCACAGATGACTGTGACTCGTGTTAACTTCAGGAAATTGTGGCTGCATGGAGTCAGTTTTAGTCTCTGTATGGCGATTGCTGAAAATACTATTCATATAGAAAATGTCTGCTCATGTGCTAACAAGCTTTCATACGGTTCCAGCATGTGGGGTTGGATATGAATACATTATACCCTGTGGTTATTATTCCTAGTTGCTTATGTTAGATCAACCTCACACCAATCTAAGCACCAGAATATGGACATACATTTTGTTCAAATTAGTTTTAACTACTCTAGATTCAAATTTAATTCTTTAGGTTTGACTTTAATTAAACTAAATGATGAACTTCAGTGTTCGCATGTTGAAATTCCAACAAGGGTGTACAATGTATAAATAGCTGAGAGTACAGATCTTACCATTCTCAACATTAGCAAGTCGATGCATGAGTGGCAGCCACACGAGACACTGAGGGGGAGGATCTGCCATCAACACATCCAAAAATGTGTTCAGCATGATCTTCTTCTAGAGACAAACACAAACGTACATGTATTCAAAAAGAATATTACAGATTTGAAAGAAGAAAGAAAATTATAAGAT